TTTTAGATCTGTTATCTCTAAGTCTTCCTTGCCTATTACTACTTCTGTTGATGAGCTGTTTTGTTCAAATTGTATCTTAGGCAAGTGTTCCAAATTGCCATTTCATGATTCTGTTAGTATTACATCTAGACCACTAGAACTTGTTCATGCTGATGTTTAGGGACTAGCACCATTGTTATCTTTTAGTGGTTAAAAGTTCTATGTTCTGTTTGTTGATGATTTCACCAAATATACTTGGTTGTATCCTTTCAAGAATAAATCAGATATGTTTGTTACATTTGTCCAATTTCAAGCTTTGGTTGAAAATGTCTCTAGTTTCAAGATTGGTACTTTAAGAATAGACTCAGGGGGTGAATTTCTTAGCTCTACTTTTCAAAAACATCTTGCTTTTTGTGGCATTCAACAAAATCTCAGTTGTCCTCACACACCACAGCAAAACGGTTGTGCGGAAAGGAAGCACCGACATGTTGTCGAAATTGCCAGGACATTATTGATAGCTTCTAAGGTGCCCTATCAGTTTTAGGTCGAAGCTTTTCTCACTGCAACTTACCTCATTAATAGGTTGCCACCCATTTCAAAACCATCTCCATGGGAACAGTTTTTTAGAAAACCTCCAAATTACAGTTAGCTTAGAGTTTTTGGTTACAGTTGCTATCCTTGGTTAAAACCTTATATCACATCCAAATTAGATGCCAAAAGTAAACCATGTGTGCTCCTTGGTTATAGTTTGATTCATAAAAGGTATAGATGCTTAGATCCCATCACCAATAGGGTTTACATCTCCAAACATATGTATTTTGATGAGACTTCTTTTCCTTTTCACACACTTACCTCTTCCTCACCTACTTCTCATACTGCCTTATCTCCTTTCTCCCTTGTATTTCCCCATCTATATCCTACTATGTCCTTACCATGTCATGTTATTCCACCTGAATCCCAGGTTCTTGCATCTACCATACCTGCAACCACTTCTCCCCAATCTACATCTAATGCACCTACTTTCACTTCTACCTCTCCACCTCCACCTATTCATTTTATTCACCTTAAGCAAACTAGATCTAAGTCAAGCATCTTTAAACCTAAAGCTTACACAACTACCAAACATCCTTTACCATCACACTTTGACAGTGAATATGTTCCTTCTACCTATCTCTAAGCATCTAAGTACTCCCATTGGAGGGCAGCTATGTAAGATGAATTCAATGCTTTGCAGAATACAGGAACCTGGAATCTTGTTCCTTATTCTCCCTCTCACAACTTAGTTGCGTATAAGTGGGTTTTCATAATCAAACATAAACCAAATGGCTCTGTGGATCACTATAAAGCACGTTTAGTGGCTAAGGGTTACAATCAACAGGAAAGTATTGACTTTAGTAATACTTTCTATCCAGTGGCAAAACCTGCGACCATTAGGATCCTCCTCACCTTAGCAATTCAGTCAAATTGGTTCTTACATCAGTTGGATATCAGTAATGCTTTTCTCTATGGTTCTTTAAAAGAAAATGTGTATATGACTCAGCCTTTTGGATTCATTGACCAAGATTATCCTAATTATGTTTGTCACTTAAAGAAATCTCTATATGGTCTTAAACAAGCCCATAGAGCTTGGTTTGATCTTAAACAAGTCCATAGAGCTTGGTTTGAAAAGCTTCAATCTGTTCTATTCTCATTGGGGTTTCAAGCATCAAAATATGATCACAGTTTAATCATTCTTCATCAGCCTATTCTAGTTTTGGTTCTGGTGTATGTCGATGATATAATTTTTACTGGCCCATTTTTTTCTCACTGCAGTGCTGTTATTTTCAAGCTCAATGCTCAGTTTCCAGTCAAGGATTTGGGTGATCTCCATTATTTTCTTGGGCTTGAAGTTCAGAGATCTTCATCAGGTATCATTATTCATCAATCCAAGTACATTATGGACTTGCTTAAAAGATCACATATGGATGGAGCTAAGCCCTGCATTACACCACTTGGTTCTGCCAAGCTTGATCTTTCTGGGCCTTTACTCTCTGATTCTGCAGAATACAAATCCATTGTTGGGGTTCTCCAATACTTAACTTGGACTCGGTCAGATTTATCCTTTGATGTTAATTTGGTATACCAATTCATGCATTCACCACGAGAGCAACATTTTCAGGCAGTGAAACAGATTTTAAGATACTTGAAAGGTACAATTGGACTTGGTTTATGGTTCCCTAAATCCTCATCTTCTCTCATACTTATGGCATTCTCTAATGCTGATTGCGTTGGTTGCCCTTGGGATAAAAGATCAACATGGGGTTTTGTATCTTAATTTCTTGGTCCATCCATCATCAGTTGGAGCACAAAGAAGCAACACACAGTTGCTCGATCATCCAGTGAGGCTAAGTACCACTCTCTAGATTATACTGCCATAGAAATTACTTGGATTTGCCAATTATTCACCGATATTGGTTTCCAATTGCCTGTCATTCCTCAGATTTGGTGTGATAATGTCTCTGCTATTGCCTTAGCATCCAATTCGGTTTTTTTGCTCGCACCAAACGCGTAGAAATCGATTATCACTACATTCGCGAGTTGGTTTTAGCACACTTACTCCGAGTTCAGTTTGTTTGCAACGAAGATCAACTTGCAAACATACACACTAAGTCACTTCTTCGGCAAAGATTTCTCCATCTTAGATCCAAGCTCTCTCTTCACCCTTCTCCGTTTAGCTTGAGAGGTGTGATAAGGATAAAATAGTGACTCATTGTAATAGTAACTCATGATAGCTACCAATTCAGTTAGATAGTTATTGTAGGGTATATTATTTTTACTTTTACCCAAAGTGTAGCTATATATACATGTGTAATATTATCTTTGATATTAATAAGAAAAGATAGAAAATATTATTCTCAATAGTTGAAATGCCTTTTTGAGTCTTCTCGACCCCTGGAAGTTGGATGGACTGCCGTGACGAAGTCACCAGCTAGTCCTTAATTTTTTTTTAAAAAAGAAAAGAATATGTTGAGTTGTATTCCACTTAATTGTATGCACATTAATTTCCATATTTCTCAGAATCTCTTGCAATTTTGATCAAATGTTTAAAAATCGAATATTCTTAATTTGTGTAACAATAACGTTACTAGAGTGAGATATGTATGAACTTGTCCCATAAATCAGTCCCTTGTGCTATTTATGTAGAAACCAAGCTTGCTAGCTATTATATATATAGATCGATGCTAGTTATAGCTACATAGGATGAGTATTAATTCAATCGTTATCAGAACTAAAATTCCTTGAAAATGATAGGAACTAATGGAATATAATTGATTTATTCATCTGTGAATTATCAGTCCTGATTTAGCAGCTGGCTCCCATACTTTGCTTTATTTTTTTTATTTTTTTCTTTATTAATCTTTATTGTGTCAAAGATATGATCACATCAATTCAAATGCACCGAATTCTACCATAACTTCAAAGTTTACAAGTTTGAACGAGAATTATACTAATATGGGTGAGATTGAAGTCTCGTGTTGCAACCATCTCCTATTTAAAAAAGTAAAATATTTGCTCTGTCCTCGCAAGTTAAAAGGACTTTCTTTTATCTTTGAGTTTGATTGATAAATTAAACTTTGAAATTATCTAGAAGGTAGGAGAATCCATGAATTTTTAAAAGTTGAGCAAACCCTAAACCATTTGGTATACGTATATGCCAAAAACAATTCAAATAAATTTTTTTTTTTCTTCTGCATCTAAGTTCGAATTCTCCTTCTCATAATTTAGATAAACTAGCGCTCACATGGATCTTAACTTAACATTATCCCAATAGATTTAACTCATTTCCTCACCTTCCCCCACCATTTGTTTTGACCCTAATGGAATTTCCAATTTATCAACTTATCATCAAGCATTGATAATACAACAAATTGGATGAAAATTGGATCCATGACCGTAACCAAAAAGTTTAATTGGAAGCTTTCCACCACAAACCTTAAGATAAACCTGAATTTTGCAAACTATACCTCTATATCCATTAAGCACGACAACGATGATATCCCAAGTTTGTAGAAACCCTTAGCTAAGTCGTTTTTAAAAATAAATATTAGTCCTGACCTACAAAAGTTAATATTTGCAAGAACTTCTAGTTTAACTTCAAACAGTTGAAAACAAAATAGTTATCAAAGCAAGTGTGATTAATATGCTGAGAGAGTCTATAATGAATGAGACGTCCTCGCTCTAAAACTCTCATAATGTTGAACCTCGTGTATTTTACGTTACCTAATATAAGTTGTTCAAAATATGGCTGAATGTTGCCAAATAAAGGAATATTTTGAGAGTAGAGGATCTTAATTATTTGGGTATTGGCTCATACAAGGCCATGACTCATGAAACTCTACAGCCTCCTCCCTTCAACTAACCAACTGCAATTGCATCATATGTGACATTGCTCCACCCAGAAAATAATTGCAATTCCATCATGTCACCATATATGCAATACAGCGTCAAGCATAAGAAATTAATTTCCCACAAATTCATAGGTAATATTTCTGATTTCGTGGTATTTTGTTCATTTGATTAGTTTTCATTCCAATTTTGCTGTATCTTTGTTTCCAAAATTTTGCTATTTCCTTTTCTGTATTTTCATCTAAAGCAAAATAGTGCTTCAGGAGACTAGCTCTAGCTCATCTGTAAGGACAGATGATTTTCACATAGCTTCTCACACGTCTTTCTCTATTTTTGGCCGTCAAATTGAATAAATCAAACAAAAACAATGAACACGAATAACCAAGAGTATACAAGAAGCTAAAAATGATGCATGTTCATTTTTCATCTGTATTCATTATTTTTTCTGTAAAATGATATCAGCAAATCCAATCCAATCTAGAGGGATAAGGATCTGAACCAATGGGCCTGATGAATAACCCATCATGAAAAATTGTCATTGAGGTACGCAATGGTTTTTAATTTCGTTATATTGAAAGGAATCGAACCTCAAATCTATCACAATCCCAACCTAATAACTAACCCTCCCTCGCTACTTGGGCGAACTGCAAAATCTCTTATTTACGAATAATGTTTAATGTAATCAATGTCCTCCACTTTTCATTTGAGACATTACACAAGACCCAAATTATGAAAAGTTGGTGAGATTACAACTTGAACTTGCCAAACCCAAGGATAATCACAAAGGATACTCAATTTATTGCACCAGGGCAAGGCTTGTTAGTTTCTCCTCACCGGTCAATGATTTCTTCTTTTTAGGTTTCCTTTTGAGGAAGGAGAAAGGTCGGAGAATGAATCTTGAGAAGCGACTTAAGGGGTCCTGGAGACCTTCCATCTCGTAGTGTCCAAATCGCCAATCTCTGTCAGTATACGGCCGCTGTATCGGTTCATCAAGGCCTCCTGTTATCACAATACCAACAAGGACAAACATGCCATCCATTAATCAAAAGAATATGATAAAGGACGATTATTTTGAAGTGCCAACAAGAAAAATGCAAAAGATATGTTAACCTCTGCGTGCATGGGAAAAATTTGAAGGTTCTAAACAACTGCAGTATTGTATGGTGTACAAGGGTGCATTTCCAAGTGACCACCACAGAGTTCTGTTTGAACCCAAGGGAGCTTCACTCGTCCAGCGACTCAACGGTAGACCTATCTTTTTACAGTAGTTTCATTCACCTACCAATCTAGCCTATAGGTTATCTCATCTGGGGGCTGACCTAGTTGCATGGTGAAACCTGCTCTAATATCAATTGTTAGAACCTATGGAAGATGTTAAATTCAATGAGGATACTCGAATCATAGAATGTTTATTGATGGATTGTTTGCTCAGAACCACCCTCTTGATGGATGACACAAAGAAAAGAAAAAAAAATGTAGAATTGAAGACCTCATGGTTTACCTGCATACATCAAACCATGCTCATTAACTTCCCGATAAAATGGTCGTGTTCTTTTTGCTTTAGCAGCTTGATTGAGGTCATTCCAAGCTTGTGCCCGGTCATCACGTGTAATTTTACCTGTTGTCACCACCTGAAATGAAAACACACGCCAAAACTTTTAGCCAACAGCACAATTGGTGATGTATTAGGGGGAAAGAAGCAGAACATGGAAAGACACATGAGCGAGGCCAAGAAAAAATATTAACCTTTGTAAATAGATGGTAAGAAGGACGTGGAATCCGGGCAAGATTATTGGCACGGTCAACTGCTACAAGTCCAAACTTGGGACCATATCCATCTGCCCACTCCCAGTTATCAGAAATAGTCCAAAACAGGTAGCCAAGCACACGGACACCCTATAAATCAAAGTATCAAACCATACGCATTTATAACACCCATGGTCACCAAATTAAGGTATTTAATTAAGAAAACAACTGAAAAGTGCAGTGGAGAATCAAACCTTGGTCTTGGCTGCAAAAACAGAAAGCAAATGCTCTAGCAGATATGGCCGTCGGATCAAATCTGTCTCATCGGCTACCCCATTTTCAGTAATCATGAAGGGTACATTAAGATGTTTATATTTTTCATGGAACTGAAGAAGCACACGGTACAAGCCATCTGGATATACCCCACGTCCAGATTCACTATACTCATCAGTCTCTACTAGCTTCAGTCCAGCACCACACACCACTTCCTGAAGGGCAGAAGATTAATGCTATAGTGAACTTTGTTGCTCTATATATAGGAGGAGGACGGTGTCAGTTTAATTAGTTAGAGAGGTGAGGAAACCTGCCCATAGTAGTTTATGCCTATAAAATCGAGCTTGTCAGAAACACTATCCACATATGAGTACATAGTCAGAGAGTTCGCCAGTGAAACAGCAGCAACATCGAAGAGACCATATGGCCGCATAAATGAGACATGGTGTGCCACACCAACTACTGGTTTTGATGAAGACCTGACAAAGTTAAAACACAAAGTTCACTACAGTAATAATTAAACGCAACATATGTTATATTCTTCAAAAAATCTTCTTTCCAGAGCTTGTATGAGGCAGAGAAACCTTTGTTCATGAATATATTCATAGGCCTTTGAGTGTGCAATGGCCATCCAATGCATAGCCTGTTGGAAAACACCAGTTGGTAAAGCAGAAGTGGCCGCCTCCAGCATGTCAGGATGACCACCAGGCCAAGCACCCGCACAATAGGTAAGCATACTGAAGACGTGAGGCTCATTAAATGTTACCCAATAGTCTATCATATCTGAGACACTGTCAACAACAAGCCTGAAAAGCAAAACAACAAACGATTCAAAGACCAAAAGGAAAAGGGAGAGAAGGAAGACTACATGATAAAAGGGTAACCGCTAGCATAATTTAGACAGTCTCACAAGCAATGAAAGTAATCAGAACATCAAAAGAGAACTGGTAACTCTACCACTGAAAGGACGACTCACTTTGTAAAGTCCATGAAATAATCAACTGTTTTTTCCATTTTCCAACCTCCATACTCTCCAGCCCATGGTGGTAATGAGTGATGGAACAGAGTTAACATCACCTTCATTCCATATGAATGGACCCTGCTGATTATCCACTTATATCGCTCCAACGCTGCATAATTGACCTAAAAAAAGGGACATCGTTCATAGAATTCAGTCAAACTTATAAAGATATTCCATTTAAACTGAACAAACACAATGTATTAACCTGAAAATATCATCAAAGCAATATCCACTAACTTGTCAAACATCATATTTTTATGAAAATGTTAGGCATGGATGAACCCCATATGGCAAGTTAAGTCCTGTATCATTCCTGATTTGCCAAATGCTTGGAAACTACATAAACAGTCAGCATCAGACTTACAGTTTCTTTTAGCCCATTGAGTGGTTCTTCTGGCATGATTCGTGACCAATCTATTCCCATTCGGAAGACACTGATTCCAGTATCTTTAGCCAATTTTAGTTCTGTATCAGGATCAGACCAAAACCTTAGCCTCTCTTCTCTGAGATTGATTCAAGAATCCATTTTACCCACAAAACAAAGCGAGATAATATGAAACTGATTAGTGTCAAATAAGTTTGAGAACCAGAAATAAGCATGACAATATGATGTCTTGTTTTGCAATTTACTTAAATTTCAATTGATCAAGTTTAAAAAATGAGGCTTACGGGTGCACAACGTTGTGCCATGCAGCTACATTATGATGGGATTCTTCGTTTGGGACAGGTGTTTCTACTTCTTCTCCTCCATCTCCTTCAATATACTTCTCATACCCTCTAATCATGGCTTCCATAGCTATCTTAAGAGGCTTCCTTTTCTTATCCGTTTTCCCAGCTTTTCCTGGTAAGGAAACTGGCTGAGATCCTCCATCACCAGTAGCAGAACCCATTATAGCATCTGCTGTTTGCAGGTTCCCCTGTGACTCTGATTGGTCAGAAGGATTTTCTTTTGCAAACTGGAGCCAAGCATCATCTAGCCTGTCCTCAACATGGGCTGGAGCTGTTGCCAACCCGAAGAAAAATTCATCTCCCCCTTCTGCACACCATCACATTACAGAATACTTTTATGATAAACTCATTGAAAAATACACAGAGACAAGTGCTTCTGAAATCTGAGAGCTAAAATCTGAACCTAATCTCGCTTTATTTGCAACCCGAAGCAAACACAATACTTTGATGACATAATAACAAATTTGGATTAATACAAAGTACTTGTATTCCTAACCTTTAGAGATATATTTCAAAGTCAAGTGCAGTAATGCATTTGCAAAGACATAAACAACGGATTTACATGTAGATGTTTCCCTAACCTGATATATTTCAAATTTCAAGTGCAGCAAGGCATTTGCAAAGACATAAACAACGTTTCTACAAATACTCTCTTTCACGTAGTCATTTGCAAATGCCTCTTAACGCATTGTATATGCTCATTTCAAATCCCTCCATCTAATCTTTTGTATTGCATTTCTAATTCAGCCTATTCTAATCCCTTAGTACACGCAAATCCCTCATATAACATAGCCTAAGTGATCAAACTCGGGCCTCCAGCCCCAATTTTACCCAAAACAACAAAGATCAAACTCATAAATAGCGAAGGTTTAGCAGTAAGTTCCACAAATATGCATGAACGTGTACATAGAACCAATTGTTGTACCGTCTAATATCAAAGTAATTACACAATAAGCTTTGAAACACAACTCAAACCGCGAAATCATTGATCAAAGTCATCAATTGGCAGCAATATTAATTAAACTCAGCTTATGGCCATCATTAAAACTGAGTTTAATTAAACACAAATTCAAGTCATTAAGGATCATAAACTCGATTAAAGTTCAAAATTATGATTTTCTTCATTTGCTCATTCCTCAATGTCATACTACCTCACAAACATCAGAAGCAGAAAATATCAATTGCTACTCCAAACCGCACCAAAATCTAAGCTTCGTCAACTCATCCACATATAAACAAGCAAAGCTTCACGTTTGAGCAGATTATAGAACTAATCAGTGGACCTAGGGTTACGGTATGAGCAGTTTAGGAAAAATTACGGTACCGTGGAGATTGAAGTCGGCGAGAGTGTCGTCGTCCTCGCCGTCGGAATCGTCGATCGGAGACTGGAACGGGCGGAGATTCTTGTTCCAAAAGCGCGAATAAGAGTAGGCATTTGCGGCGACTGTGAGTGTCACTAGTAGCCCAGCGAGCTTCGTCACCGTGACGAACAGAGGCACTACCGCCATTTCTGATTGAAATCAACCGCCCAAGCTCGAACTGAGCATTATTAAATGAATTACTTACGTTTAGATATGAAATGGAAAAGCCTATCGTTAATTTGCACTGGAAACCATAGGAGTCGCCCACGTGGCAACCGACGTTAACTGTGTCGTAACGGAATTTGTGTGGCGGGTGGGACCTCTTGTGCAGTGAGTAGTAGAGTGCACGCTAGTAGGTGATTGTGAATGTCCGTCGCTTGCAATTGCATGGCGGGTGCGGCGTGGATGTGTTCTTGGGCCTTTGGTTCAAAATACGAAGGTGAGGGGCCAAACTGGCCCAGTTATAAGCTTTGGAAAAGCCCATTAAGGCCCAGCCCATGTTTTCTTAAAGTCTTAAAATTGTATTCTTACTCGAATTCCATTTATATTCGGCATTTTATTAATGGTGTAGCTCTTGTTTGGCTCGTTTTGCAAATTTGAAAGCAATGAATCAATGTGGCGACACGTATGAATGGAGCTATCCTAAACCCATTCAATCTATGAGTTGTCTTGAAATGAAAAGGGGTGAATACAATGTAGGAGAGACTGATTAAAATGTTTCAAGATTATGTGCTTGAAGCATAATCCCTTTAATTTGTTTTGAGATTACGTTGTTTAGAGACATAAAACTGATACATTTGTTGATACTTTAATATAGGTGGGTTTTGCAGATAATGATATGGTCAATCTCTATTAGAGAACGTGTCAGTTTTGTGTATCTAGAGAGAATAACTGTAAAATTAGAAGATAAAAGTTTTATCAATATTTGTTTGTTGTTACAATTTGACACATGAGCATAAAATTTTCATTTTGTAATGTCAACTTATCTGTTGATTTGTAAGAGCAAATGACTTCTTAATATATTATGACATATTACTAATTTGTAATCGAAATTGGATGGATTTAGAATTAAGAATTGGGAAGGAACTAAATTGACGAGGAGTTAGAATACAGATGTCTATAAAAAGTTGTTACTGAACAATCTAAAATTAGAGTAGAAATGATATCGATTTTATATAAACTATTTATTAATTCACATAAATCAAGAAGGAAATGAATTTGATTTTTAAAATTTTGTACAAGTTGCTGGGTTAATAGAATGAATGGACAAACTTGAAATTTTAGAAATAATGTGGGGACATAATATGTAAGAAAGATGAATTCCTGATTATATATACTTGTTTTCTAGGAATCAGAATATTACTCCTTAAAGAGTCTATTTCTCTATAACTAAGAGTTGATTTCGTTATTTTGTGCGGCTCCGTAATTACTCTTTATTTAGTAAACACACAATAATCCATGATCAGAATCTGTTTTCCTAATTTGATTTGAATTATGGATCAGCTGTAAACGTGTCATACAAAGCTAAGTAATGCTCATTTTTAACAGTATAATTTCATGAGTGGGAGCTTTGCATTGGAGTTTGCACTAGCAAAAACGAAATGGATGTTACCCTTCTGCCTAGAAATCATAGGTGGTCCTGCCGACGAGCACCAAATTCAAATAATTCACACACATGCACTGATGCACATGCACATGCACTGATGCACATGCACACACACTCACTCTCTCCGTGTCTCTGCAGAATCTTTGCAGGTCTGTTTTTTGTTCCTTTCCTTCTTCTTCCCCAAACAAAAACCAAACGGGAAGAAAGAAAGAAGAAACAGAAAAATAAAGCAAGTATATATACCCAAACAGCTCCTCTACGTTGGACATGTCCTGAAGCTCTCTCCCTTTATCCCAAAATTCAACATGATTGGTTTTGGTACTGCATATCGATCACGTCACTTGACGGCAACAAAAGCTTACTCATCCACCTTTAATTCTAGCTAGGGTTTCCACTTCATATATATGCATGTATGCCTGTTTCCTAGTATTTACTGTGATTCCTTTGTGTGCATGTATAGTACGTCGTACATGAAAAACCCTATCCATCCATGCATAGGTCACGTCAACCTTCCCCATTTGTACAAGGCAAACCAAGCTGTTGGTGCCTCATCTTTCAGTTGTCGACTGCAAATTATACATTACGTTTTGCAGCTGCTCCATTGATTGTTTTCAGTCATTTTATACGTACTGTATATTAAGTAATAAAAACCTACTGCGGTGAAAAAAAAAATGAAGGATGCCAATATAAATAAGGAGATGTTCATGGTCCTCAGTTCAGTAATATATATGTTACGCCACATGCATGTTAGGTACATCCACTGATGTACTAATTAATTCAATGTGCCCAATTTAGTGTAGGGCATGTTTGGGAGTTATTTTAGAACTGTGAAAAGTGCTTCCATGAAATTTAAAATAACGTTGTGCTTCCTAGGTGGTTTGGTATTAATGTTGTTTCTAGATTGTAATTGAGTATTTCGGTGCTTTCTGGAGATCGTGTTCCTTTTTGTTCTTCGTTCAAAAACTTGAATTTTTTTATAAAAGTTTTAGTACTGTGCTTCAAATAAAATTCTTTTAAACAAAAATGTTTACAAACATAAGTGTTTTCTACATAAACAACAAGCACTTTCAAACATGTCCTTCTTCCTAGGTCGTATGGCATTAAAGGTGTTTCTGAATTATAATTGTTTTTTCTTCAGAATTTAAATTTTTTTTAATCAAAGTTTCTATATAAAAGTGCTTTTAACAAAAGCACTTATGAACATAAACGCTTTCTACATAAGCGAGAATTTAAACATGCATGTAATCTCATTCAACGCTCATGCTTAAATTAAAATAGGTAGACTGAGTTACTGAGGATATTGAATGGCTATATAAGATTAATTAAAACATTCAATTAGATAATGGCTGGTTTGGTATTACTGTGTTTTGAAAAAAAGATACTTCTGCTGTGCTGTGAGAATAAGTAGCTGTGAAATAAAGCAGCAGAGTTTTTGGTAAAATTTTTTGTAAAAGTGCTTTTGAAAAAAAAAAGGTAGTATTATAGTGTTTGGTAAACTTTTATGTAAAACAGATGTGAAAAATAGCCGGTTTTTCAAAGCTGGGTTTCGCAGCTTCTTGGTTTTGGCTTTTTTTCACCCAAAACTGTGAAGAAAAGCTGAAACTGAATGTTTGCCAAACACAAAAACAGCTCCCAGCTTTTTTTTATACCAACTTTTTTCAGAATCACCTCAGTATCAAACTAGACCTAAATGGCATCATATATGAGATTGAGATGAAGTAAAGCCAAGCAGAAAAATATGGATATAACAAGAATCTGCCGCCCTCTAGAGCCAGTTTAATTAGAGACAGCTCACAAAATATTTCTAGGTTCACACCAGGAATATGACATACACTATTTAAATCTGTGTCTATGACAAATAAAATTCACTGATTAGTGTTGTTTGAGCTCAGAATTTTATGGCACAGGCAGGCATGAACGTAACTTCTGATCTCAAATTTTGATATGTGGCACTTGTGAGCAAATCAAATCAAAGATTTGAGACTTTAAATAAGTTGTAAACTTTGTTTTTTGTTCTACACGGATGAACCAATTCAGATTCAGTGCCAGCTATGCTTTTTACAGTGGAGCAATCTCCTAATTTGGCACATAGACTCGTAGTTGCCGCCGGCTCCAGAAGCAAACAAGCCAGTTAAAAGAAAGATATTTCTCAAGGCTCTGAGGAGTCAAACCTTGTGATCAAATGTTAATTAATTAATATTAATTAACTAATATTAACAAAATAAAATATTGAAGAACGCAGGCTCTGACGAGTCAAACCTTGTGATCAAATGTTAATTAATTAATATTAATTAACTAATATTAACAAAATAAAATAGGGAGTTTTAAATAAACACTTTCGGTATTGTTCATTTTGAACGAAAAACCACATTTTTACCTTTCCTTGGTATTATTCACTACACCTTTATTTATCATTTTTCATTAAAACTTAAATTTTTTTAAATTTTTGATTAGCTTTCCTAATAAAATATTGAAGAATGCATGCCAGGGAATACTAGGGAAGGTGATCACTTCCCTTTACTTTGACCATATCTTGGGAGACTGTGATTGTAATGCTCCCCCTTCCCCGCACGCCCTTGAGGTTCCATTACCAACAAATCTCAATTTTATATAATGTTAGAACAAAGATATATTTTTGCAGTCCAATAGAAAACTGTCGATTTAAAGTTTCTTGCAGTTGCCCAGATTCCCTGTTCCCCATCTCTTGTGCTGTTTTTATGCAAGAAGCTAAACTTATGTGTATGTAACTATGCTGCATATAGAATATACCCTACATCCTAACATTAGCCAAGCATTTTCTACTTTGTTTGCTAGCGTGAAGATTAATTTGAACCTAAATACTATCATCACCTAGACGGATTTAAATAATTTTATTATATATCATATAAATAAGTGTCTGTTTATACTTAAAAAAATACATAATTGTATTATGATACATAAAATTACATAATAAAATGACATATAAATTAGGCTTTTTAGCCAAAATGGTCCATGAGATTTGCACAACACATCACTTTGGTCCATGAGATTGAAAATCAATAGAAATGGTCCCTGAGATTGTCCACCATCCATTATTTTGGTCATTCCGTTAAAAACTCTGTTAAGTGTTCTAGATCTCTTGGCCGAAAGTTTGGGCAATTTTCAAAGTTTCGTAACTCAATCATTTCTTAACCAAATTCTACCCATAATATATCAAAATGAAATAGGAAAGTGTAGAACAAGATTATACCTATTTGGAAGCTCAATGATTGCCGAAGATGGCTGGAAAATAGCCTGAAAGTTGACTGGTCCGCAGGAAAACTGGAAAACTCGCCAGAAACTAGGTAAACTTTAAACATTCATAACTTCTTCAATACTCAACAAAATCGACTGATTCAAAATAAAAAATTATACTTCTCGACGAGACAAAGAGAATGATATTTTTTTTCAATGGCTAAATAGCCGTGGTTTGGCTGGAAAATGGCTCAAAAGTGGCTATCTTGGTCTCAAGTTAGCCACTTTCAAGTCGTTTTCCAGCCAAACCATGGCGAATTAATTAACCATCGAGAAAGGTATCATTCTCTTCATCTCGTTGAGAAGTATGATTTTTGTTTCTAAATCAC